TACTTTATGCATGACCCCAAACAAACTCCTAGTAGAGGACAGAATTTCTAACTAAAGGGCTATACAGCCCCCAAAGAGATCTTACCACACTCTATTCCTACTCCATTGTCATAAAGTTATAGAGAAAGGTATGAATAGTGCAATACCTTGCCAAGAGGGAACAGTTCAAAGAAGGCTAATTGGTCTAAAATAAGATGAAATATTTACCAAGGAAAATTCCCCTGTACCACTCTGTTTTAACAAAGAAAAGTTATTGACAGAATCACACATTTGAATCATGAACACGATGAAAAGAAATGATATGGCAACTACAAATACACAACAAATAAAACACTAAACATACCATGTAAATGAAATAAGATCATAATAAAAAAAGAAAACATAAACCAAGATGCTATGATTTGAATGTTTGCTTTCTCCAAAACTCATGTTAAAATTCAATTGCCTCCATAACAGTATTAAAAGGTGGGACCCTTTAGAGGTGATTAGGACACAAGAGCTCCACCCTTATGGGTTCAATTAATGTTGTTATAGACGGGTGAGTGCAGTCCCCCTTTGCCCTTCTCCCTTCTCATGTGATGGCACAGCAAGAATATTCTTGATACTCAGACCTACTATGAAATTAATTTATAGCTTAAGCTATATCCCAAATATGGCCCAAGAATATGGGGAAAGGGGAGAGGTACGGGAAGGGAGGGGGGAGAATGGGTGGAGGGAGGATGATTGCTGGGACCACACCTAAGGTTCATCTTACAAGGGTACATGTGAATCTTTCTAAATGTAGAATATAAATGTCTTAACACAATAAAAAAAAAAAATATTCTTGAAAAATACATGTGTGTTGATGTTAGGCTTACCAGCCTCCAGAATTGTGAACCATAAATTTCTTTTCATTATAAATTTCCCAGTCTCAAGTATTCCATTATAAGACCACAAGGGAACTAACACACAAATTTTCCTACCAGTTGGTTGGCACTTTAGAACCCATAGGCTGCCAAACTGTATTGGTCCATTGTCTGTCAGGAGCCTGGCTGCACAGCATCACCACCTGAGCTCTGCCTCTTATCCCATCCTTCCCCATACCAACCGGATCCACTCAGTGGAAAAACTGTCTTCTTCCACAAAACCAGTCCCTGGTGGCAAAAACTGTTCAGTCCATGGCCTGTTAAAAACCAGGCTACACAGCAGGCAGTGAGCAGCAGATGAGCAATGGTGGGCAAGTTTCAGCTCTATTTACAGCTGGTCCACATACCTTACATTATCATCTGAGCTGTGCGTCCTATACTATCCACAGAAAAACTGTCTTCTATGAAACTGGTTCCTGGTCCCAAAAAGTTTAGGACCTTCTGCTTTAAAAAAATCATAAAAAGGGCCAGGCACATGCCCATAGTCCTAGCTCTCTGGGATGCCAAGGAGGGTGGATTGCCTGAGCTCAGGAGTTCAAGACCCCCCTGAGCAAGAGCAAGACCCTGTTTCCAAAAAAAAGAAAAAATAGCTGGGCATTATTCCAAGCGCCAGTAGTCCCAGCTACTCAGGAGGCTGAGGCATGAGAATCACTTGAGCCCAAGAGTTTGAGGTTGCTATGAGCTGTGATGCCAAGCACTCTACTGAGGGCAACAAAGTGAGACTCTGTCTCAAAAATAAAGAAATGAAATGAAATAAAAATAGGAAAAAATGTCTGGGCATTGTGGTGGGCACCTGTAGTCTCAGCTACTTGGGAAGCTGAGGCAAGGGGATCACTCAGACCCAGGAGTTAGAGGTTCCTGTGAGTTATGAAGCCAGAGCACTCTACCCAGGGCAACAGGGTGAGACTCTGTCTCAAAAAAAAAAAAAAAAATCATAAAAAGAACAATCATCCAGTAAAACAAAGTCAAAAGAGAAGATGCTAAAATAACAGAGTAAAGCATAAAGGGAAACAGAAAACTGAAGGAAATAAACTGAGAGCCAAAAATAAACTAATAAATAAAAACTAAAATTAACTAGAAAGAACAGGGAAGGGAACGATGGCAATTAGATAATTACTAACCTAAAGGGAAGATCTGAGACCATCACAATGAATACAGAGAAAGAGGATTAAAATAATTATTGAACAGATAACAGATTAGGAAAAAATTGTCCTATATAAAGATAACTTGAGTCTCAAATACAAAACATAAACAACAAAATAGAAAATCTGCAGATGATAAAACTTCCATGAACTAAAGAGAGCAACAAATACTCCTTCGAGGCTCAGCGCCTATAGCTCAACCAGCTAAGGCGCCAGCCACGTACACCTAAGGTGGCGGGTTCGAATCCCCAGCCCGGACCCACCAAACAACAATGACG